CGAACTATTGCGTGTTTCGCTTGATATCCTCCCCAGGAGGTTGACGGTACTGAAGCAAAGGGCTATGTTTAATTTCTTTATATTTGCAACGATGATGATGATTTCCTATAGTGACACATATCACCTTCTTAATGCTTCAGTATGCCTCAAACAATTAATTCTTGGTTGTTAATAGAACTTCCTTGATGAAATCGGCTGCTTCATGCAGACTGAGCAATTCTGATTATAGTATCAGATTTTTTTTGTATACAGAGGAACTGGGAGGGCTTATTAGAAACTTCTCACCAATAAAGTAAATTTTGCATGTAATTTATTAATATTTAATTTAATTTAAGCATATTATTTTTGTTACAGTCAATTTGCATTAGCAAACGATACAAGAGATTTAATATTACTTGCTCGTTTTTGCGTAAAATAATCAATAATTATTTTACTTGTAATTCCCTTTGAAAGCTTTTTATCAAGTTTGTTTTTTGTGATCTGGAAATTTTCCCAGGTTGGTTAGAAGTTTCGAAGCTAACGCATGTCCACAGGCCTAATAGAAAGATAGTCAGAAAAAGTGTATCATGAAGAACGGTTGCATACAGGGTTGCTTCCACTCACTTGCTATAGATGAGTGAGGAGATTTGTAGGCGGGTGTTTGATGCATAGAGCCAGTCAATTTTGCTTTCAGAGTGTTGCAGTCAGCGGTTTTATGATTTGTGAGCGTGTGTCAGACGCTTGCTTTTTGGCCTCTTCTTGTGTCTAACATGTGCAGAGTAATATATTTGTGAGCATATATTTTTGAGATTTTAGTAGTCATGTTTTGTTTGTAGTTTTATTTTATTTCTTTCATGTTATTATCGTAAATAAAAGTTATTCAATAATAGATAGTTCATCCATATATTCGTACTATGACGTGAAGCGCTGTGGATTATGAGATGCTCGATGACCCTGGAAGGATTGATTTTGCTTACTGAGCAGAAAATCATGGATTTAACCCCAAGCTCTTCCACAGCACAGTAAATCGCCACCATCATTTGTATATTTGATATTGAACATTAACCTCGGAAACTATTTGCATATCAAGCGAAAACGTAGTCCTGTATTGTCGCGAAGCGTTATGGTTCTGAGATGCTCGATGACCATGGAGGGATCGTTTTTGCTTACTGAGCAGAAAATCATGCGTTTAATCCCAAGCTCTCCGTCATGACTCTTAAAATTCATGATCACTAAACAAAATGAATATTTTCTTTCGATAGTCGGCTATCGAGAGATTAAATGAACAACAAATAAACAATATATACTTTTGGTTGCATCGCCAACTTGAGGTGAATCCTAACCGAATACCCTACCCAACCCTCCAACTCCGTAGCACTTATGAGGGTGTCGCTTAGTCGGTGGCCTCTCGTTAAGTAAGTACTACATCAACATTTCCTTCCCTATCCCTAGTTATGGTAAAGATGGGCGTGGCTGGGAATAGCGACACTCATGCTTCTGTTACTCTTGTTTAGATTGGAACCAATGTTTACTCCCCAGCATTATTCCTGAGAGTAGTCTAACTGAGAATTTCAGAAGAGACGTGAGTGTAGCTAGTATCCAATCTACGAAGTATATCATAACAACGCTAACGCTACCGCTAACGAACTATTGCGTGTTTCGCTAGATGAACACAAGCACCGCGTACGCCATGGCGGTTATTGCTGCTACGTGTTGGGTAAATTTCTGCTTACTGTCAAGTAGCACCCCGAGGTCCTTTACAGTGCTGACTCTGGCGATGCTAGTTGATGACATTCTATAATCGAACATGGTTACACTCCTTTTTCGGTAGAATGTGATGACATTACATTTCTGGACGTTTTGTGACTATGGCATGACCAGACACTCCCGGGTAACCCAGACCCCTGAACTGTGTCGCAGGGCCGGCATGTTACTGGGTATTCGGAGGGGCTCCGCGGACAAAGTATGAAACACAGGAATATTCACATTTTATAACACATTTATTTGCCCTATTCTGTGGTGTGTGGGTGTGGGTTTTCACATATATGTGGCGTGTATGCGAGGGTTTTAAAATTTGGACTGTACTCACTGCTGCAGCGGGATCTCCTACGGCGTCGCGACGCTGGCGTTGGCATACACGGCTGCTCCTGCACTACCGTGTGGCCGGAAACTTGGGGCGCGGGCTGCAGACAGTGTTGTTGCAGCTTTGGGAGAATGGCGGATCTGATGGCGTTCATCAGCCACATACGGCTCAGCAGGCGTTGCAGGCTCGTTTGGCTGGCTGGCGTCTTCCGTCGTTGACAAAATCGGCTGCCCGTGGCATGGCCACCTTGGTCGAGCCGAGACGGGACCCTCCTTGGCAATTAAGGCCACCGGCCTGAGGGAATCGTCCCTGACGGACGATCGAGGATCATTTACTATTAGGCTCGGAAGCCATCTTGACTTCCGAGCCGAGCCGTGTAAAACCGTTTTATTTACGGTACGAGGTCCTGAGAATTGTTATAATTCAGGGAAATTTTCCGTCAGGATAATAAAAAGTAAATTCCCTGAACGGAGGCAGTTCAACATCCCAGAAACCCCACAAAGGGGGGGGGGGGTACACTAAATGGCACTGCACTTAACGATACCGGTCTACACGGACACCTGATTACTTCTGCCAATTAGAAGGTTTTATCTTTTAGAAGATGGCCACTCGCATGCCTTTTGCCGATCATTCTCCATTTTTAGCTTAAGACTACGATTTTCTTCCCTTTAGTATCGTTCGAGTGTTTTTGCAGCGGTACTAACCCTCTCGCTGCTGTGTTTTGCCTTCTGTCTTTTATATTAAAATACGTGAATTTTCCAAACAACAACAACTCATACAAACGAAAATCCACGGATTGTAACCAACTGGTTACAGTTTACTTCCATTCCGTTTAGCAGGCTCCAGTTTAGTAATGCGTCGATGTCAGCTTGGATAGGAACTTCAGGTCATCGGCAAACATTACCTTCGGAGATTTAATCGTTTTGCACAAATCGTTGACAAACAACTTGGCAAATAACTTTACTGAGGCACTTCAGATGTGATATCGTATGGGTCCGAGCTCGTTCCATCAATGCTTACGTAGGCACTGCACTCAGTTAGGTAGGAAAGTATTCAGCGAGTCCATTCTGTCCAATTTATCTACCACCAAAGAATGCGACACTCTATCGAAAGCTTTGGTGAAGTCAATATAGATGGCATCGATTTGTTGTCTCTTTTCCAGTGCATGTGCAAGAAACATATGCCATCAGGTTAGTAGTGGTAGAGCGTTTTTTCACCAATCCATGCGGGAACTCGGAAATAATATGATGCACGTGTGGATAAAGTGAATCGAGGACGAGGCATTCAAAAAATTTCTTACACTTTGCTTAGCATATCACTCTGAGAAAAGTTGAGAAGCGCCACGTTCAGTTCGTATCGGGGCAAACTGTCCAGGTACGCTTCAAATGAAGGTGATCTGTTATAACTTAACTCACTCCGATATATGACACACAAAATTCATGAAATTTTCTAAAGCATTTTCTTTGAATATTCTTATAAGTTCTCTTAGAGCTCATCTCGCAATTCCCTTGAAACTCTCCTATTTAATAACTGCCTAGAAATGTATTTTGAACTATTCTTACAATCCCTTAAAATACTCCATAGAATTGTCTTCTGAAATTCTCCTTAACATTTCTTTCCTCTTCAAAATTTCTTCATAGCTATCTTTAGAGTTCAATTCTCTTATATTTGTGTAAAGTATTATTTTTATTAATCCTCTGAATATGTTCGCTCAAGATTTAAGTATTCCACATTCCATTTTCATAATTAAATCTCTCACTTTCCTCATTTCCATCTAATGAACCATTCAGTTCGATTGGTGGCATTCGTGAAATTTGACATCTGTATCTTTGAAAGTGTCCTTAATCATGATCCATAATTAGGCTAAATAAAGCGGGGGAAGGTAGTGTTCAAGGCTCATACACCCAACCAAGAAATTAAAGATTATATTTCAGAATTGTATACAAAGTTTGCAGAATAAGCAATGTTTCGCCGCATAAATATATTCAGTAATGATGTTGGCAAAAGGTTTTTTTTAAATAATTTTGTAATTTTTAAGCTAGATAAATTAACAAATTAACTTTGCTCCTTCAAATGCAGTTCGGCGAAAAATCTTCTTGTGATGATTTTATACGAAAATATTCATTCTGAAAAAAAAATGCAAATAAATCACGTGAATTGTTTGACCGTTATCAAATCGAACTTTACTGTAGAAGGTTACATTTGCCGGCAGTGATGGAAAAGTTCGCAAAAAATCACTATGACTCGTGAACTTTGCCCTTGGAGAACTTTGTGAAATATCGCGAACTTTTCCAACACTGTTTGCCGGTTGAGTGTAAGATTGGTAAAAGCATTTTATGAATAATGAAAGATCCTTATAAATGTCGTACACTTTCAACTTATTAGTGAAGTATGAGTGATCCTCATATGAAATTCAGAAATTAGAAGTTACAGTTCATGTTATCACATTTGCAACACATGTCTCTCATACACCTGGCCACCCCATCGGTCAGCATATTTATCGGACCCTGCATCAAACTTCTCGGCATGTCTTAGGTGCCCCATGATCATGGAAAACTTAAATTACCAATTTCCACGACGATAGAGCTTTTTGACGTTTGATCGGCGCACACTACTGCACCATCAATCGAAGAAGTCCAATCAAGAGGGAACAGATTAGTGGGAAAACAATGAACCCATTCATCCCCGTGAAAGACGATTAAACGTCAAAAAGCTCCATATAGTTTAAAAAAAAACATCCCTGAACCATTGTTGAAACTGTTACCGTCGTTTAGGTTGCTTCTCGAAACAGTTTATATTGATCGCTTGTTGTTCCACACCACACTTTACTTGAGACACGTATCACATCGTATGATGGAAGCGGAAAATGAACCCATTGATAGCAAATTCAGTAAGCCACTTAATGGAGCCATGCATGATGTTGGGAATGAAACTTTACCTTGAGCTGAGCTTAATATCTTTCGGTAGCGCGGCGCCATCTTTTTTCCAAACGACGTTCTGCGGTAACGATTGCTTGGTCTTATCTTTATTGTTATTGCTAGTTGTCGCTCCCTCGTTGAAAAGCTTGGAGTTGGCCGTTCTCGTTTCCCCCGTTGGCATCAGCTGCAGAATGTTGGCCAACACTGGTGCTGCTTTGGTTGGCAGTGTTGCCAAATACGATAACGACACCTGACATGATATATCGATTGTGCTACCTAATTTATAGTACCGATCATAGAATTCGTATCCCATCTCATCTACCACTCGAACTGCTGGTTCTGTAGAGAAATAAAAGCGGATAGACAAGAACAAGATTGATTGTTTTTATATTTTAATCTTAAATAAATTAGAATTTGTTGGAGCGTATCCAGCACAACGGAGATTAGAAGAAAGAAATTAATTTTGCCCACATTAATGGCAAGCAATTGACTGTGGATAAAATACCCCCAGAAGGAAAAACATCCGTTTTTTCTGTCTCTTGTTAGGACAGTTACTTATTGTTGCCCATAAATACTTCTCCTTAGCACAGTAAGTTGTTACGCTCAATTGCGTTAATTCTTCATAATAAATCTGGCAGAAAATTTGCCACACAATAGGTTTGCTCTGGTAATGTTCAGGATTGGCACGTTGCTCGATAATTCATCTTAGAGGCAAATTTTCGTTCGCATCAGGCTCAAACACATCTAAGGATTCGCAATAAATCCTACCGTTTCCGTGGATCGTGAGTACATTATTTCCGTTTTTCATGCCAGTAGATTAATCCCTTTCTTGGCTCACCCGATTGTTTGCCATGGTTTATGTATTCAGCCAGCGCCAAGAAAGCGCTCGAAATGGTGAGCAAGACAATTTTTCACACGAATGAAAATGAAAGACAGCCGATGAAAATGGAGCAATCATTCTAGCCATCCCATTGTTGAAGCTGCCAATTGTGCCGGAACGCCTTTACCCTTGTTGGCACCTACCAAGAACTGTGAGATTGGTGGCGAAAACTCGGGGCGGATGCGTAGATACTTGACACATGTACAAGCCACCGTCGTCATTCTTGATTGGGTTGATATGTAGGCGCCAATTATTCGGATATTGAAATTTAACCCTTATCCTTGGATCGCCGCTGTACGTGTTGTTACCTACCGTCAGGAGGGATACCTTATCGGTCGTTCTTCGGATCCACATCACCTGGTTTTTGGGATTGAGATTATCACGGGAAAAGGATCGTGATGAAAAGAGAAAATGAGACAAACGTCAGAATTCAAAACTGAGGTGTATCGGTCAATAGGTTGTCAAGATAAATGGTGACGTTCTGTGGCCTAGTCTCTGAATGTGATTGAGATTCACGCTTGGTATGCGAATGGAATAAAGCAAACCTGATTCAAAACGAAATTAGAACAAAATTGAGATATGTAGTGGCTTACCGTTTTATCCTTGAGCATTCCTACCCTACAGTTGAGAATTGCTTCCGTTGACAAATGATAGCCCACTTGCAATGCTCCGGAAGTCACGTTGAGTGGCTCTTCGAAAAATGGACCCCAATGTCGCTCGTAATGATGCTTGGACTGATAAGGCATCGAATGAATAATCCTATGTCGAATATCAGGTAAAGTAGGTACTAGTACTGCAATAATAAATCACCAAATTAGATGCCTCTCGTTCGCAACTATAGTTAGTGCGCTTCAGCTATCAATCTTACATGGTCGAAAAGTTGTGAATTTTATGCTATAGCTGGTTTTGTATTGATCCATAGTTTGTGCCACAGTTGCAGTGGCTCTTGGTAGTTCCGCAGTAGAGATTGGCAGCGCAGTTGTAGGTGTAGACTGCAATAGGGCCGCTGCCTCGTGCTGCTGCTGAGCACTAGATGTAGAAGACCTGTCCTCGTTCAGTTCCGAGGACGTCACCGTGTCTGTCGTTGTCACATTTCGCAATATCTTCTCCGGCGACGATGGCACCGACGGTGTCGACAATTTGCTATTGGAAGTGATTTGTTTAGAATATGGTACGTATTCTGTTGTTGTAGGATGTTCGGTTAACATGGTTTGTTCTCTCATATCTGAAATCAGAAAAATAGAAACATCATGTTCAGTCGTCACGTATCATCCGACTTAAAATTGTACATGTGTCTGTTGGAGAAGGATTGTGAAAATGCATCTTCATGTCGGTTTGATTTTGGATTCTCTGATTTTCGTGCTTTCCTATTTTCAAATAGAAGTACCTGCGATTTCCACGAGATTATATAAGTGCGAAGTGAGAACGTGATTTTTGGAAAGGAGTCTAAACTATGAATGAAAACTAAATGGTGCAACAGCTTCCTGATATTTGACGGTTTGTGTTTGATTGACGTTCCGCGGAGCTCCGGTTCAGGAATTTATCGAACAGGAAAATTTCTCGACTTCCCTGACCATAGGTCTGTTCCCGTACTTCTCGATGTAAGCCACACAATAAAGGAATGCAAAAAAGGTACGAACCTGTATAATTACTACGTGGACAATCTAGTTTTCTTTATTAGAGAGACTTTCAGTCATTGGAAAACTACGTGGACAGTTTAGGAGGGCCCTTCCTCGATCCATACCTTTTATTTTTCAAAATGTACACTGGAGTCGCTTTTTACGCGGGTGATACGTCCCGCGTAAAAAAAAACCGCGTAAAAAAAAACCGCGTAAATTCCGGAATCCGCGTAAAAAAAAACCGCGTAAATTCCGAAATCCGCGTAAAAAAAAAACCGAGTAAAAAAAGACCGTGTAAGAAAAAAACGCGTAAAAAGCGATATACCGCGTAAATTCTGAAATCCGCGTAAAAAAAAACCAAAATCCGCGTAAAAAAAAACCGCGTAAATTCCGGAATCCGCGTAAAAAAAAACCGCGTAAATTCCGAAATCCGCGTAAAAAAAACCGCGTAAAAAAAACCGTGTAAAAAAAAACCGCGTAAAAAGCGACTCCAGTGTATATGGAATATTGTCCAAGTCGGGGGAGGAGCAGCTATACACTTTATGATATAACGAAATTTAAAACAAGTTTGTATACAATCCACCATTTTATGCAAATCTGCCATAGAGTATGCATCACACAGCAAAAAATAACGGGTGTACAATAAAAAATATTTTTTTTTTCAGTCATATAGCTAGTAAAAAAAAATTTTTTTTTTCAACGGATTTAGTATTTTTTATTAAAAACATAATGTTTATTCTTCAAAAAACGTCAATGAATATTGGAGAAGGGGCCCTCGTCAGCCGTACGACGCAACTTAGTCGCGATGCTCTCACAAAATCGCTGGACGGCACTGAACACCCGTTATATTAATTTGTGACTCATTGGTGTATGATCTGAATTTAGTTGAAACATGCGGCAATGAGATTTTTATTCTAAATGAAAGAATTAAATAATCCGTTAATTTGAATTTGCGTATTTACAGTGAAAAGTTCTATTGAAATAGATTTTAATTCCAACGCACAACGATATAAATTTCCATGACCATGTAAATTTCAGCATTAATTCATTGAATTTCATATCGTTTAGATTGTAATTTTATATTTAGAAATCCTGCTGCAGTTGGTGATTGAAAATCACAAAATATGTTTATCTATGCCCCCTTTTTGACAAATACCGCTTGCCACGTTACCACTAGAGTAGCTTGCCATTTGTTGCAAAGCTAATCACTTTTTTGTTTTTTTTTTGTTTTGTGTTGTTACGAGATTGTAAACGTTTTTGAAGTAGGCAAGTTAAGTACAGCACTTTCCTGAAGTCATACCAGAACCCAAAACTATAAGCAATTCAACAAATCCGAGAAACAGTAACGACACTATCGACAGGAACTTCAGTCGATATCAGCAAGAATAAGACGCTCCAGCACCAACAACAACATCAACAACAGCAACAGTAACAACAACAACAACAACAGCAGAACTACCTCCCAATGCATAATCATATTTCTGTATATCAGCATTCCCATTCCTTTCCACGAGGTGACCATCCATCAGCGACAACGAGACGGTTAGCAGCAGAAGACAAAACATAGATAGCATATAAGTAAAAATTCGCGCACTTAGCGTTTTTCATTAAACCCTTTAGTATATACCACGTTGTAACTCTTTGCTTTGGAATAATAAATCATTCCAGTTCAGACCTTCAGTCGAGTAAGTTCGTAATTCTAATTTTATCCTTTTTAAAAACGTATCACCAAACCATGAGGTTTTAACTGGCATTCCTCAAGAAACCTTTGAATGTGATGCATGGAGCATTCGCAAAGCTCATCAGCCAATTATATTGGAAAACCTATTCCATATAATACATTATTATAAATATGAATGTGCCTCAGTGCCCAATTGTTGTACGCATCATTGACTTTCAAATTCTATTATTAAATTCTATTATTGCACATTTAGTATCTAATTATTGTACACCTATAAGATACGGCAAAATGTATTTTTATCAACATGAATTCACGAGCGCATTTAGAGGCGTGACGTGAACAGTTTTTGATAACTTTAAGAAACCCCGCCCCCCACTCCTCCTCATCTGCGCTATCCCCTCGTGGACGATTATTCATATTTTATTTATTAATAAGGACAGAGTACAGTTGCGAACCCCCTTTCCTTTAGAAACTGGGTATACATATAAACAGCCACTTACTGATTTGTCAGTCCATTTTGGCTGAAATATGTATGGCCCTCCAAATACATATTTTACATCGCTATCGGTATGAAAGGCCATTGAGCAGTTCCCCACCAAATGCCGAACCGATCTGACTCGATCATTTCCTATTTTCATGATTGTTTGTTATGATCAGTTATTCAGCTATAATTCGGCCAGAATCTCACAAAAAGCTTAAAAATTGTGTTTTTGAAATTTTTCAACAAATTATAACACGAAAACTTAACTTCCATTCCAAATAACGTCTGAGAAAAATTATAGGAATAAATAATTCCTTTTTAGGAAAAATATACATGGTGAAAAAATTCAAGTAATTTTAGGTAAAAATAAAAAAGGAGGTTGTCTTCAATACACGGCCGTAGATTTGACCAAAGTGGTCAAGCAGTTTTGGCATAACTTTCTACCAGCAATTTCACAAATCAGGACCAACTAATTTAATTTTTTTCATGAAACGCACAATGTTGGCTACTTTTCTCTTGGTTCTAGAAGAATAAACCTCAAAATAATGTTTTATTTCAAAGTTCGAGTGGTAGTAAACGTAATTTTGACTGCTCGAATGAAGTGGTTAATTACGTGCTCGATATCAATATTCGGCAACTGTGCTACGGAAACGCCTCGTTTTCGGATGAAAAAAATACGCATTTCGTACACAAAACGGGCGGAATTTTTGGTTCATTCAATAGATAATTAAAACAGCGAAAATTTATTGGAGGAATTTCTTGCTAAGATCAATCATATAAATACGATATTTTTCTGCTTTTTTCTAGCGTCCTAGAGAAACCCTGTTTCTGGTTAACTGTGAAGGTCAAGTGATATTCGGTCATTGCGAGAATTTTTATGTACCACTTCAATACTCGTTCATTCAGTAAATTCTGGATAGTGGACTATACCGAGAAGAAGTGGAAAAGACGAAGAGGAGGCCAAACGACGAGCGCTGCTGAAGGAAAAACAATTGTTAGAAGCAAGGGAGTTGAAGGCACGGATAAAAGCGCAAGCTAAACTTAAGTCACCTCCGAGGAAGAGTAAGAAGAACTTATATACAATGTCCAAAAAAAAAAAAATATAAAAAGTTCAAAAATTTAATCAAAAGTTGTTGTTTTGCATTTTTTTTTTAATTTTTAAGTGTCTAACTTGAAATTTTCATAGAAGATCGCAATTTTTATAAGCTTTATAATGTAAATATTAAAATAACCTTGCAGTGGGTAATATTTTGCTATGCATGTTTTGAACAATTTTGTTTTATTTTTACCCAAAATTACTTGAAATTTTTTACTGGGTTTATTTTTTTCCTTTTTATGACTCTGCATTTCTACTACCCTATAGAAACAGCCTCTTATCATGTTTGTCATAGGTATTATGAAATACCTGTGACAAACATTATTTTAGAAACACTCTTTTGATTTAGTACCACAATCGATGTACTAGATTAAGGAAGTTCAATGATAGTAAAATCATGACTGACATTGGCAAGAGACACCTACGAGAATACTAACCAAAGTAACAATTTTTGTTTTCATAGTTTTATAAACCATGGTTTGCTTTAAAACTTCGATCATTATCAATAATCTTGGATATTTAGAAGTTATGAAGAATCTTAATCTTGGCTGTGATCAATTCCAAACCAACTCGCGAATCGATTTTATTTTTGCCTTTCCGAATTTGAATGTAACTTTGCATAATTATTCGTTAAGGTCAATACATCAAGTTTGTGTTAGAATTCAGCCCAATTTTGCATAATGGTGTATTTATTTATTTTTTCAATAAATCATAGCACGAAAATGGCTCATCTAGTCGTAATGACGTCTGTGAAAAGATGTAGAAAACTGGACTGCCTTTCCAGAAAAAAAAAGACACGATGAAAAACCATGAGGCCTAAATGCCCCTAATTTGGGCCCATACATAAATTCAGCAATCGACTGAATTTTCAATAGCGACCAAAAATATCCATTAGTTCATCTAGATAAAATTGATAAATAGCAAATTTTTAGCGATGGGCCCAATCTTAGATCCATAGGCCAACATAAGAGCCATTTTCCCTATACAACTTTCAACTTTTTCTTCAAATCCGATTATAATCAGAATGAATTCCGGTGCTGTGTATCCGTAAATGAAAAATATTTTACTTAATTTTGGGTTGCTGAATCTGAAGTCAGATTTCATTAAAATCAACAATTTAGTATCATAAAAATGGTACTAAATTGCCTACATTTGGGTGTATTTTTTTTTTTTACTATTTTGACCAGAACTTTTGAAGGATTTTTTTTTGGTGAACACAAATCAAGTATAAATGTTAACTTCTGAATATTGCATTGAATAAAAACCTGCATGATCTACTTCACCCCTAAATTGAAGATTGCATTTTAAATCTAATTTTAATTCTAAAATACATACCAAACATGTAATTTATAAACTAAATTCGCACATTAGAAAAGTATTGGCTTGCAAAGGTTTGAGCGGTATTTATTTGTGTGCTAAACATATGGTAGTAAAATATTCAGGTTTATCAGAAAAAAGTGATCAACTTCCCCTCGTTTTGCGGTAGCTCATTTTGTATTTATTTTTTATTCATTTACCAAATAGTCATTCAGGTCCTAGAAAATAATTCAAATTGCTACATCTATATACTGTCATATAAGCTAAAACTTTTAAGATGTAGTATATTACCTTCATTCGATTTTCCTCATCTGCTAATATCTCCCGAGTATTTATTGTTAACCCTACCTTTTCCGTTCGTTTTCAAGAGAAGGACGATTTACTTGTCAATGTTTCACAGCCATAATATAATTACACCATTGACAATTTGGTGCTATTGCCTTTCCAAAAATATGCTTGTGTGTGAAGCTTGTAAGGCTTGTACTCGAAAAAAAAAATGCACCATTTTTATCCGTGTGTAACTTTTTTATCCGTGGGTAAAAATTGATGAAAATCTGGGTATAACTAGTTTGGAGTAAATTGTTTACATGTGTAAAATTTCATAACAATCGGTTCAGTGGTTATTGAGATGTCATCGAAACAAGAAGAAAATCGCCGAAGAATTTTGCGCGCCGTCATGGAAAATCCGACTGCGACCATGAGATGGATCGGAAGACAACTGGGAATCACCCATACAACTGTGTCTCGGGTGGTTAAATCGTTTAAGGAGTCCCAGACGACCGAGCGGCGGGCTGGAAGTGGAAGAAAATCGAAGACAGCTGACCCTGTGAAGGCCCGGAAGGTGTTGGATTATTTCAAGTGTAATCTGAACCTTTCGATTCGCGACGCGGCTCTGAAGGCAAAGTGTTCCGCCTGGTTCGTTCAGCAAACCATGAAACGAGCTGGGCTTCGTGTATTCAAGGGCCGGAAGGCACCGAACCGGCGTAATCAACAAAACACGGCGGCCAAATCCCGCGCAAGGAAGCTGTATCGAGAGTGGTTAACGAAACCGATGTGTGTGGTTATGGATGACGAAACCTACATCAAGGCAGACGCAAAGCAGATACCGGGGCTGGAGTTCTACGTTGCCAAATCACGGTGTGATGTTCCGGAAGACATAAGGAAGAAGAAAGTGGACAAATTCGCCAAAAAATACTTGCTCTGGCAGGCCATATGCCAATGTCCCACGGAGGTGAGACATTATTTTGGCCGGACCTGGCATCATGCCATTACGCGCGATCGACGTTGGATTGGTATAGAGACAATAACGTTGGTTTTGTACCAAAAACCGCCAACCCCCCAAATTCACCAGAGATTCGTTCGGTGGAAAGATTTTGGGCCATAATGAAGGCCAAAGTTCGAAAATCGTCCAAGGTTTTTAAGAACGAGCTGGATTTGAAGAAAGAATGGATGAAAATGACCAAAAAGGTTGGCTCCACCATTGCACAAAATGTAATGAGGGGTCTTAAGGGAAAGGTGCGGGCTTTCAGCGATGGAAAGCGATTGAATAAAGTAATTATGCCGAAACATAATCCATATGTATTAGTTTATTCCTTGAAAGTTTCAAGAAAATCCGACTTAAAATAAAGTTTTGGCGAACACTTTTGTCTGGTGCATTTTTTTCGAGTACAGGCCTTATGACCTATGCCCCAAGTAAAACAAATTCATTTAATTATGTTGAGTAAACTGCTATACAACCAAATCCAGTCATACAAAGGTTATATATTCTATTACAGGACATGTGTGTTGCTTGGGTCGTAATATAGTTAACACAACACTGTCTCTTCTTGAATCATATCTCTGAAAGGAATTACAGTATTCTTAATTTCTTTCAACTTAATTCCCTCTTTTGCTTCCCATTGTTCTTGCCGTCATGAAATGATTCTACACGGCCACTGAGAACAACCCAGTCACTTATACTCAGTTGTATAAGAATTTTTTAAAAACCGCAGGTACTCAGCGCTGAGTTCCTGTAGTTTTAGAAATGGCTCTCTCTGTGGGTTGTTTTCAGTGGCCGTGTAGCCTTGATATTTGTTTTTATTTCCCAATGATCTACAGCTACCGTCTCATCAACCCGGTAGTACAGTGCTCGTTTAGCTTCGCGATCGGCTTGTTAATTTCCTAGAATACCAATGTGACTCGGTACCCAGAATAATGTAACTTCTTTTCCAGATTGCAAACACTAGTAACACTTACACAAACAGATAATAATCTGAAATTCAATTCTATTTTTATGTGATTAATATTTTCAAGATATTTTTCCTCTTATAGAATAAATACAAAATTTGCGTGTTGTGGGCTTTCAACTTAGTGACTTAACTTGACGTGCTTCCGCTGTTTTCAATTGAGAGGTTTTTATGCATATTAAATGGCAAACTCAATGATACTCTATGCTCAGGGAAGAGAAGAAAATTTCCAAACCCGAAATATTTTCTAGACCGTACCGACCGTGCCTTTACCGATTCGTCAATTCGAGACCATAACACATTTCATCTTATTATTTTGTCATCTAAATTGAAATGAAAATATATTGCTTGAATTGTACATTTGAAGGTTCAATTTATCAATGTCATTGCTCTGGCAGATAGCAAGATAGCAAATATCCTACCAAACATAAAATATAATCCAAAACTTTTCCAGCACAGTCGTTTATATTGATGTAAAAAAAAAAGGCAACCTTCATTTATTATTATCTTGTGGCGTGATTGAGTTAGATGATGATGAAACGATCAAGTGCTCATCGTACTTACCTATCATCGTCGTGAGCAGAAAGACAATAGTCGCGAACGCGACATTGTTACATTGATGATGCAAGCAGTACGACGATGTCATCACAAAATATTTTACCTCTTCTACATTTTCTGCTTGAAGACGAATTTATCACAATCACTGATGGCACATATTTCTCTATAAAAAGTTTTCACTTCCACATCGTTCGTATCTTCTCAGCATCCGTTCTTTCAAACATCGGAATGGAACTTTTCTCCTTGGCATCTTTTGAATTTGCCTGTCATCATCGTTGTGGCACTTCTCCTTCACTACCCAGCTTCTATTCAACTTCACTTACTGTAATTGAATTTAATATCTATACAGCTCATTTTTCTTGGTAACCATGCACTTTCCTTTTCCCTGGTCTGCATGGCATCTTGAGTTATATTTATTGTTCTCTATCATCCACTACACTGAATTTTGTTCGAACTTCATTTCGTTCTCTTCTGCACGTATCCAGTCTCTCCAGTCTGGCTGCAGCAACCATGGAAAGGCTCACGATCGTCGTAATGGTTCATCCATATCATTTCCGTTCTGTGGGCGGGTGTCAAGATATAAGAGAAGTGGCGTCATGATTTAATCTTAAAATGTCACATTTCCGTGAAGAGCGACGAACCGAATTGTATCGCGTGGTTCTTAGCTGACGACGGTAATCTCATAAAATGCAGGACATTGAAAAATATAAATACGCAACCGAGAGGAACAATCCGATGCTACACCATGAGTAAGCGGCTTAAATGATGGCGGCCACTAGCTGTCCCAGTGGGTTTGATATCAAACGGGCCATGATGAAACAGGAGGTAGATGAAACTCAAGCTGTTCGAAATATGATATCGTTATTTGGGATGCTATTTAACATTGTGTTTCATCAAATGAAACTGGCTGGATAAATCTTTTTACTCCTTTTTTTACATTCCAGGATTGTAGAGTCGGAGTCGGATGAAATTTAATAAACTGATTAGTCGGAGTACGAGTCGGTGCAATTATGTCGACTCCGATTCCTTACCTCAATGGAACATGATGTTTTTTAAAGTGTAGTAATAATGACAAACTTATAATACTTAGAACAACCAATCAGTTTCAAATTACCGCCTTAAAAAAAGATAACCAACAAATTAACCAACCAATAAGTTTCACGATGAATTATTTATTTAAAACATTCAATGTTTTATTGGATCCAAACATTCATGTCAAACACATAATAAGGCCAATTTGGTAAGTTTCATGATTAGATCAGTTAATATTTTGAGATGATAGTGTTATAAAATGTAGTGAACAAAGGAAACCCGAGCAAAACCAGAGACAAATTGAAGATTAAATTTGATGTTATGATGTCGCCAATAATAATTGCTCGGCTGTCGTTTTGGCTGTTTTAACGGTTAAAATATCAAAATCGAGAGCAAACTAATATTTATGTGACATCACATTGAAAACTAATTCTGCTATCAGTTAGAACAAATTGAAAACTCAATTTGATGTATATTTTTCTGTTGATAATTTGATGTTCTGCCAAGGGAATGAAAACAAAACTACAAGAACTTATATTTGAAGAGCAAATACATAGCGAAATAAATCAAAATTTGTTATGTAATTGTCAATCGCGTAAGCTGAATTCAAATAATGATTTCAGTTTGATGTTGATATCAAAACTTGATTTCCATATACTGTCATTTTGATGCTGGACTTTACTCGGAAATAGACTGAATTTAATGAATGATTCAAGATAAATCGGAATAAGAGATCTTAAAAAAATCATCTCTTACAAGTTAGAATTTTAAAATGTTGTTCACTGTGTACGAATATTGAATATTTCCAGAATAGAAATGGCACCTAACGAATTCCCATTTTGTACTCAAATTGATCATATTTACAATAATCCTGCTTGCGGAGGGGCCATTTATTAATTACGTCACGAATTAAGTCGAGGGAGGGGGTTTTAAGAAAGATGATTTTTACAATTATGTTTACTGGTTTGTACTGTTTTTATGCAGCATTGAAACACATTAGTGTCTCGCAATTCTACATAGAATACCTTATCTTATCATATCTTTCTTTATTAAAGAGACTTTCAGACAAATTTGCCAGATTGTGGACAAAGAGCTGTCGAAACAGAAAACGGTTCTTTGAGCATAACAAGGTTTGGTTGAGTAGGTGTGAAACTGCAAGCGAATTAGCAGAACCGAAAGCTGAAAAAGGACGACCACGCAAATCTTTCGAGACCTCAAGTACGAGATCAAAGCTTAGAAAAGTGCACGATATCAGCGTAGAAGTTCCTTATGCGGAGTTAATGTTTGCAGCGGCAACCAGTGCAACAAATTCTGGCCTTCGAGACGCAGGAAAGATCATCAAAAATCTATCGGAGTTTCCGGAAAACGCAGGTAGTGTAAAGCAGTCCATGAATGTAGTCAGTGATGTGGAAGAATATTCACCAACTGAAGCTTTGGCGTTTATTTGTAAGAACGGATTATCTAAAAGTCAATACAAAGACATCCGTGCATCGAGCCTGCAGAAAGGATGTAATTTATATCCTTCCTACCAAAGGGTTTTGGAGGAAAAAATACTTACGTATCCTACAGGTGCTTTGTGTTTGAGTTATGTTTAGTACAATAATTAATGTATTGTGTTTGAATTACAGGTATAACGATAAAGCCATCGGCAGCTGAAATTTCGCTGCAAGCTTTAGTAGATCACACTAATGTGCGTCTGTTCGAAAGCCAAAAGAGCATTCTAACTGGTTTATCGTTAAATGAATACGAGATCAAGTATAAATGGGGATATGACGGCAGCAGTAACCATTCTCGTTATAAACAGAATTTCTTTGATGAAAATGAGGACGGTGAATTAGTTGACTACAATGATTCACACATATTTTCTATTGCTCTGGTTCCTCTTCAGATTTCCACAAAGATCTCAGAACATGAACATAAGGTTTTCTGGAACAATGATTTGCCATCGTCTGTCTCCCTATGCAGGCCAATCAAGCTTATTTTTTCTAAAGAAACTTCTCAGCTTACGCAAACAGAAGTTAAGAAAGTACGGCAGCAGATACAAAATCTGAAACCGACAGAAATGTCTCACGATGATCGAAAAATCACCATATTTTCAACCTTGATATTAAGGTTCAATTTACTTTGATGCTTTTTGGAAAATTTCAAAAGCAGTTTTTTCCGACGCATTATTTCAGATTGCAAAAAGCTGAGCACCAATGTTACCGACGCCAGGGAGGCAGCTCCCACACCTGGATCCTACCTATCGACTCATCAAATCATGAACTGGGGACCAACGGCTTTACTTCCCTTCTGAAGAAAGGCGTGATCAAAGATTGTATGGCTCAGAAAATAACGACGGTGACGGCTGGGTTTGAACCCAGGCCCTTTGAAGTGATAGGCAGTCACGCAAGTAGCCACAACTGTTCAGTGACAAGCGTGCAAATAGGGCAAAGCAAGCCCTTAATCATATCGATAAATCTTAAATAGTTGATCAACCAGCAGTCAATATAACAAACGTTTTGATGTACATACTGGAATATTACAGCGAATTAATCGTTTTCGATTCGAATAGATGAAGAATCACGATGAACCATATTTTTGTCCCGTACTGTTTGTTTCCAAAATTTTCTGGCAGTTCACGGAACTGCCCTTAAGTTTTTGAAACTTTCGCATAAAGATCTTTTAACTTCGCCAACAATATGGAATTTCCTTTATATTTTGGATCTTCCATAAAGATATCTGAGGACTTTCCTGAGTTTCTAGGAAATTCTATAAGTTCCTGTAATTTTCCTGAAGTTCTTGGAATTGCTCATCCCTATGATCCCTCATTAGTGTCAAGGGAGGGCTGGACGGTTGTTACTATGCGTTACTATGATGAAATGAAGACAATTATAAAAAAGAAACCATCATCTTACTCGTGAATTAATATTTCTATTAATTTATCATCGATGTAAAGTATTTAAGCAGCAAGCTTTTAAGTCTCCTGCCCTTGGGGATTCCTTCAAACACGGTTGAAAGCAGGCAACCAATCGAACAACTTGAATCCTAGGTAATTCAATTTCATGTCAGGTCTTTCGCTAAATGTAAATCAGTTAGAAGCAAAATCTTCCAATTAGGAACCATAATTCCACCAGGTATTCCACGTGTACAACCCATTCCTAAAATAATCGGCACCTTCCACTGTCTACATTGCACAACAAACCGCTTGGATTGCTTCAAAAGAATTTCCGCCATTCAATTGGAGTGTTTTCCAGTTGAATGCAAGGTTCTGCAGCAGGAATCTGATAAGCACGTATGCATTTAATCAGAAGTGCACTTTCCGGAACAATACGCTTCTGGCACAACAAAAGCGCAACAACTCAACACGAAAGTACCCTCTGACGACGGAACACTTGTCGCATAATCCTCGTCAAGGTTCATCACCGAGCAGCAGAGGCCAAAAGAGTGAGCCACCTCTAGGACAATGGGGCAAATGAAATTTAACGCATTGCATTGTGTTTGCCGGTCAGAGCTCAGCCCAGGCCAAAGTGAAAATGAATATTCTGGTGAATCCGGACAGCGTGTTCTGACGTAACCAAGGTATCATGATCCATCTACTGATGCTGGATATACGTACACAGCGTAGGTATAGGTAGTTATATTGTGACCATATTCCCGCGATATAACGTTCGCGAATAACTTTACCCAGCGGCTGGCACAAAGGGATCTACATAGCTATTAGCTATATATATATATAGCATCCACACCACAATACATACTAGGTCGGTTCATAGTGGCAACATATTTTAGCAGCCGTTCATGAGATTTTTTTACTTTAAATTTTAGACTGGTAATTTGTAAAATAATGTTCATTAATAATCGTATTTTGGGAAAATTAGATCAGTTTTCCAAGCTACATGTTTGAACCAGTCTAACATAGCTCCACGTGTCATGTGAATTCTCAGCGCTCATTTGTGTCGTTGGTAAATTTTGTGCTATGACGAAATTCCTAGTAGGTATCAACGCAAGTTGTGTATGTTGTGTGACAATGAAAAAACAACCACACTGACACCGATGACACCGCACCAGTTGGAGCACATAGGGACGCAGAAAATTAAAACTGAAATATAATTTATGTTACCCGTGCGAAGGAATCCCCCAAAGCAACGGAAGGCGAAGTGCGAGAAGACCATGCTGAACTCAACTCACCCTGCCAGCTCCCGGGTGCAACTTTTTAGCGCTTTACGCAGTTTCCCCTTAACGATGGCGTAATAAACTCATTACACGTTTCCCCATTTTTTTTTACGGAGGCTTCAGGCCAGGCTAGGGAAAGTCGTCATCTGTTGGGCAGCTAGGAAGAGTTTCGTCTTTTATTCATCTTTTCGGGTGCTTTTTGACCCTAGGATAAATCAACCGCAGTGAATGCGTAATGATATTTCAAACAAATTAATTAGCAGTGGTGGTCAACCATAATTCAGGACAATTAGTAATTTTCCACTCACAGTTTGTTAATTTTGAGTCTTCTAAGCTTCAATGTGTCGCAATAGTGGGATAATCACAGTAAAT